AATATAGATAATAACTTAAAATTAATCTAAATGTGTTTAAAATATCTTAGTGTATTTGTATTTTAAAGATGTAATGATATACATATAATTTTCAAAATCCTTTATATAATATTTTGAATTATAACAAAGTAGTTTAAATTCTTCATTTAAACAACTAATTTTGTTTTAATTAAAATTATCATGAAAAAAAAAAAATTATACTACTATATTATATTTTTAGATTTTTTTGGTTTTATTATGAGCTACTTATACGAAAAATTTTATTAATTTTTTAACTCTTCGATATAAAAATAAGACATTTTATAAACAATTTACAAATTTTCGTGAATTTGACGAATTTTATAAAAATCTAAACATAAAACATTAATAAAAATAAATACAGCATATGTATTTTAAATAATTTTATAAAAATATGTAAAAAGAACTTTTGTGGGGTTTTGTTATAAAAATTTTCAAACTTTTTGACGAGGGAAAATTTTTAATGGACATTTATAAAAACAAAACTATAAAATTTAAAAATGTTTGAATGTTATAAATAACTCAAAAAAGGTAAAAATATTTTAAAATACAATCATATACCATAGAATGTAATCAAATAAAAAATTGATGACATTTCAAAGTATATTCGGTTGTTTATTTTTGAATAACAATCAAATATCGAAAATCGTTTGAAGAGAAATATTTATAATATGCACTAATAAGTAAATCCCACATAGTATCTACGTCATCGTAGTTTTAACTTCAAACGTCCATAAAGAATTTATTTTTCTCGGAAAATTTTTTTTTTTATTTGGGGAGCAAAATGCATTAAAAATCTTGTATAAAATTGTCAAGTCATAAATAAAAACAGAATTTTTTTTATGAATATCTAATTATAAAATAATTTAAACATTTTCAAGATTTTACGAATTTCTTCAAAATTCTAAATGTAAATTCGTATACAGTTTTGTATGACTTTTCTCGATATTTTTTAAAAGGCAAATGAAAAATTTATGAGGAATCTTATATTATATTTTCAAATATTTTGACTTGGCGAAAATTTTTTACTAACATTAAACTTATTATGTAAGATAAAAACAAAACTAAAACAAAATAAATGTTTTAATTATCTATCAATAGCTTCAAAATATTCAAAATTTTGTAAATATAAAAATTTAGTAAAATATTAAAGTAGCTATAGTTATTCGTTTTTGAGTTCTGCAAAAAAAAAAAACGATTTTGTCAAAAAATAGTTTCACTTAATAATCCTTCAGATTTTCTTTAATTTACTTGTGTTTTTCAAATTAATCTTGATCTCTCAAAATTACAACTAGATCTTATCGTGTATATACACACGCAAATATATATAGTATGTTTAATTCAATTTTGTGCTTTCAAGTTTCTATACAATTAGTATGTAGGTATTTCATCCCGGTTTTATTTTAAAATCTTACTAAATTTGTTTTTAGTCTTCAAAAGATTTACTAAATCTTTAGTGTGAAATAATATTTTAAAGTATGAGGAAAATTAAGTGTTTTTATTAAAAAAATATAGAAAAGCAATTAGTAACTACCACTAACTATATCAGTTAGCTATATAATGTGAAATTCATAACTTGTAATTTTTTCTCCGTTATATTATTATTTATTTCTCATAATATGCCAGTATAGTTTTGTATTAGTAATTTAAGTTAATCGAAATCATGTTTCCAATCATGGACACAATCTCGGGGATATCACAAAGAACAAATTTATGTCATTGTAATTATTTTAATGATATAATGAACGTATTTTTCAACTTATTTAATCGCATTTGAATTTAATGTAAATTGTTTTTCCATGATATTGTGACAATAAATGTATAAAATAAAAAATTCAATCAAGAGATTAAAATAATTTGAAACTTGGTTTTTATACATTTTATTATTGTTTAGGAAAATAAATAATGATAATTTTCATATTTAAATATAAAATATACATTTTTAGTTATTCACACTTCAGTTTTGACACTTGTAGAAAAATAAAGTGGATGCTACTCTAAAAATTACCTAACATAAATAATACAACAACGTTGTTCATGATATTTAATTACTAGTTATGTTTTTTTGTTTTTGTTTTTTTTTTTTTTTAGAAAATATTACAATCTGTATACATTAAATGCAATAAATATATTTTTAACACAAAATATATATATACAAGAGATGAATAACATGAAAGAACAAGGAGTCCATTGACAACATGTCGAAAAAATGAGGGTAAGGTATAAGAAAACTAAGCTGAGTTTAGAGTAGGTTTCTAGCCCAGTTTAATTTAAGTCGATGTAAGGGATTAATAGGGTTAGAAGGATTATAAAGATAGAATATTAAAGGGTTAAGATGGTTTTGAGTGTCATTGTGGAATTTATCGAAATAGCAAGAAGCAAGTTCAGGAAGTGTTTGCGCTCTTAAGTCTTTGTGGAGATTGTGGATACTGATATATTATAGAGCATCTATTCTTATGCATAGGTTAATTGATTGGAAGGATTGTAGATAAGAAATAGGAAGAAAAAATAAGAAAAATGAGTTTAATAAATAGAATGGTTTTTAGTACGACTATGTTTAAGCAATTAAACCATTTTTTCAATTAATCTTATATGTTACAATTTAATAATAAATTAATAGGATCTTTCTCCAAATATATCAACAAAATCAATACATTTTATTGTTGTTTTGTGCAATGAAATTAATACAAAGTTGTCGGTGTTTAAAATTAAATTTGTTATTTAAATTGAAATCATTTAAATGCTAATTAAAAATAAAGTTTTTAAACGTTTGCTACAATATTATTATTATTATTTTTTAAATTTTAGCATTTTATAAACTAATATATTAAAAAAATATATTACTCATAAAACAACACCAAAAATATTATTTTTGAAAAATAATTTTCATTTTTATAGTTACAATACAAGTATATCATTAGTTTTAAGAAAATTTCCTATTTACAATCAAAAAAACACGACAAATATTTTTTAATACTGATCGTAATTGAATGTTTAAATTGAATAATATTATGAAGAATTATGTTGATGTATTTAAATTACTTTATTAACATAATACAAATTTAAGATATTTTTAATTTTTGTTAAAGTTAATAATTTGTTATTGTAAAAAAAATTCTTAACAACATTTTTAGGTTAATATTTAACTTATTATAAAATAATTACAATGTGATAATTAAAAAAAAAAGAGAAAACAGAAAAGTAAATTAATAACGGCAGGTATATTAATAAATAGTTAATGGTAGTCTTTAAGAATTGAAATGATGTATAGTAGTACGGTATAATCAAGTTTGTATTAATACTCATCATATGGATATTTTCCGTTTATATAATAAATATCAAATTCAATGTGACATAATACAAATTTCATATTGAAATTTATAAATATTTCTATTTTACGTGAATCCCGCACTATGTACGATTTTTATATTATATTAAATTCATGTCGTTTACAAAGCTTATACCGCGTTTTTATTCTAGAGAAAGTAATTTTAGTACTTTGAGTTGTTTTTCTTTATAAATACTATTTACCGGCATTTCCCTCGAGAATACTTCAAAACGCCAGAATATTGCTAGTGTTAATAGTTTCGTAGTCGGCTTTTGCGAAATAGCGGAATCACTGTAAAAAGCATATTGATGCTTCTTTTGAGTCGTCCATAGCAGACATTTTCACTGTGCGTGTTACAATAAGAAGTGTCCATTTATTTTTACACCTTTATTGCTTACGACTTACACGATTTATTGTACTCGAAGACTTGCATCTCCACTAGAAAGTCTTTTAAAAGGGTATGCGGTCGTTCTCATGAGTCTATATGCCAAGGCCTATTAATTTTGTTTTTTCAAATAAAAAAAAAAAAATCACGAAGGGTCAAGTCTTTATTCAAGATTCATCGTCAATAGACGTGTTGATTAAGAGCGCGTGACTGGTACTGAAGCATCGACAAATATCTCTCTCTTCTACTATAGTTACTTACAAAAGAGGCGTGTTACTGGAAAAAAATTAAGAATATTTTTTTTTTATGGTTTGGGTCTTTTGTTGAAGATTATTCGAAACCTTTATCCAAAAGAACCCAATCGAACTTTCCATGGTATACCCGCGACATAAAATAATGAGCTTATGAACTTTTTAAACGAAGGTTTCAGTTTGTCCGGCTTCCAATTTTTCGGTAAATTAAACAATGCGCAGAAATCATCTTTTCTATCCTCTTATCCATGCGAACCATACGTCATACAATTTATCCAGGATACTCATATAATGTAACGTTGTAAGCGCTTTAGGCAACTTTATCCCAAGAGACCATACAGTATTGAAAATAATATTCTTTTGTAGATTCTCATTCATAGATAAAATACGCGAATTCATTTAACGATTAAGATAACAATTAAGAATTAAATTTTCATCTTATTTTAATACGTTCATTATTCTACACTTTTTATTAATTGCATTGTGAATCTTGATACCGAATACTAATTTTCGATTGTACACACACTTTATTATAGAATATACAATTTGTATTAAAAACTAGTTTCACGGATAGATAATAATTGCTTAAAGAATAAAAAAAATTACCATAAAAACATTAAAAAATGGTGCTAAGACTTTTTACAGTTTAGTTTTAGAGAAAAAAGTTTGAGTCCATAATAATATATAGCCTTTATTCACATTTTGAAATTATTGATATACTGTACTAAGTTTACCAGTTGTACCTCGTTACAAGACATTATTTCTAAATTTTAGAGAGCAATGAAAAAATTATATTTCTTGTATTTTTTTTTTTTTTTTTTTATGTGGGGAGTATGTACGAATAATACAATAATAATATTGATAAATTATCAAAGAATAAATTATATGGCACAGTAAAAACATTTTAGAAAACAAGAATGTTACTTTGAGAACGCCTTGATATACACATAAGTGTAAAGTAAGTGCCTCAATTTTCAATTATTTCATATAATTATATATAGGAAGATTATATACTTACTAGCAGCGTCAGTAAGCCAAAGCCCGTAAGGATACCATTTCCAATAAATATAGTAATCAGCTTCAACAATCCATGGATAGTTTTCAAAGGATATGGTAAACACAAATAGTAAATAAAACAAGTCAGATACAGCCAAGGCAGTCAGATATGTGCTGGTGGAGCTTTTCATCGGTTCCCTGGTAAGTACAACAACGGATAGCATGTTACCCACCACGCCCACGGCCACAACAGCTGGTAGCAATGCCTGTTGTGCCCAAAAGTGCACTGCTTTTCGGAAGTAACAATACTTCTGATCTTGTACGATTAGTTCAAGGCAATTCTCCATGGTTATTAGAGTCTGCGAAAAAAATTTAATATCATGCAATATTATTATATGAGTATTACGAGAAAAACGTATTTAAATCTTGGAATCATCAATATTAAAAAGAAAAATGTTTTTTATAATAATATTATACACGTATCTCTTACCACACGGCGTGGTAGATAGGCAATTAAGGTACGTGTGTTCATTTTTTCAGTATTTTATCAGTTTAATAAAATTATATTATTATAGTTAATAGTATCGTTTATTGAATAAAAGAACATTTTTGCATTAAAATTAATGCATTTATTACATACAATTATTTAGAGTAAATATGAAAAATTATGCTGAATTAAATTATTGACAGTTTACACGTAATTTATCAATCTAAACAGAAATTCTGGAATCATTAATATTAATAGAAGATTAGGTTATAATCATTTACAAATGTTTACAATTTTATTTTCAAAAATAATTATATAATTCTGAAGCTTATTATTTTATCCTGTAAGTATTATTATGAACTTCGTGTACAGAATATTAAGCTATATACAACAAATCATATACTGAATACAATTTTCGAGTAGATAGTATAATAGTATTTAAGTACTTAAAAGATTATAAATAAACTATAAATAATATATTTTTTACGACTTTATTTTTTGGTTATTTATCATAACACATCACTATCCAAAATAGATCAGCAAATTGTGTATCATACAATCCTGATTATTCTTCATGTCCTTTTATAATGTTTTGTCTCGTATGAAATCTTTTATACATTTGTTGGTACTTAGTATGTTTAGGTACTTAAATCGTTTTTATCAGATACCACCAGAAAAAATTTGGATACTATGACAATAGATAATTTACATACCGGAAATTGGGTCGGTTTGATGCTTTAGCTAAAACTTGTTTATGTGTTAAAAGGTTAGCGATAAAAAAGACAAGATCTAAAAGATGTTTATTCTTGTCAAAGAGTATAAACTTAAAAATGCATTCCACTTTTGTAACCATCATTTTAAATGGATTATCGAACATCTGATAGAATTTCAATCGATTTTTATTTTTTGTTCTTCGAAGCATTATCTGATACACTAAACCTAACATCTTTTTATAGAATTAAAGCCTATACATACGTACCACAAGATGTAACATATTATATTAATCTTTATTGGTCATCGTTTTATTTTTTTTTATACATCACATTAAAATTTGATTTTTATAATGCAACTATTTTCGTTAAAACACTGTAAATCGCTAAAAATACACTCAAGTACACCATCTCAGCTCATAATTATTGTTTTTCATATGTAATCATTTATTATTAAAACTATAGAAATGTATAAATGTTGATTATATGTTATGTATACGATTAAAACCAAGTTTAACACATAGATTATAAAATAGTATAGTTTATCGCATAGATACTCGTAAATACAATATAACAGTGACCTACTTAATGGTGAATTATTAAATTACTAGTAATTCGAAGCTTATTATACAGCAGAGGGACTTCTCTGATTTTTTCATCATATTTATGTTAATCGTAATAACCATAAAAACTACCGAGAGATTTGAAAAATCACCTTTCATAAAACTACTGTAATAAAAAAAATCATTTTTTTTTTTTATTACACATTAATTATTAATAATTAATCAGTAAACGAGCAATTATTAATTAATAAATATTTTAGTAGTATGTATTGCAATAATTATAACTTGAAAAAAATAATAATATACTATTGTTTTTTATTTTTTTTATTTTGATATTGTGGTTGTTTGAACAAGAATACGTTTATTAATCGTACCTAATACTCAGGCTTAAATAATAGTCACGCGTTTAGATTATTATAGTTAGATTTCAAAAGTATGGGTACCTACTGTGCTATTAAAGCATTATTTATATTGTAGTTGTCTCAATAATATACTCTAAGACTATTCTGAGTATTCTGACCAATTAATATACAGTGTAATACACCTTTCTTAGTGTTCAAGTCTAACAGACCATTAACAAGAGATACATTTAATTCTAAGATTTGAGATTTTCGCATAAATTAATTTTTTCACGATTGGCGTCCGTGATTATCATTGTTTTTACTGAATGCTATGTTGTCCACATGACTAATAATTTAAAAAATCGCGAGATTAACGTGAATTGAAATTTCGTACTAGATATAATAAATTAATTCTATTAATATTACCATGTTTCAGTGTAATTATTACTTAGTAAATAATAATAATAATAATAATATCTTTAAATATGTGTAAAATCAATTTAATTTGGGTTAAAAATAACTTTTTTTTTTTTTAATAAATGTATTAACATTTAATTTTTATACTTCTATACTATGCGAGCTAAAATTTTATCATTACCTTACTGATAATGGTTGTGTTCAAAGACCTACATATATTACTATTAAAATTTATTGAACATTGAATAGTGTATTTTTCTGAAAATCTTCATAATTTCATAATGTATCCTCTAATAAATATGAAATTATTGTGTAGCTGTTTTAGATAGCAAAACACGATAATTTCGAATAAATGAGTTGTATTATATCTTGTTTTAAAATTAATAAGCTCTTATCAACGTAAATGTAAAACATATAACTCAATCTTGGAACATATTTAGGTAATGAGATTATAATATGATCCCGGAATACAAAATAATACAGTAGAATATTTATTATTTAAATATAACCAAATAAACGTTGAAAACGTGTATCATTGTATAAAATTAATTATACAAAATATATTATACAATCTGAAAGTTAGAGAATATTAAATTTATAGAATGAACGTTTCAAAATCTGATTGATATCAATTCAAGGTTTTTGTTTTTTTAATATGTAAAATAATGGGATTTAATTAACGTCACTCATTAAATATAATAATATGTTTGGAATAAAAACTTTTATATGAATAATTACATAATAATACAGAACAAAAAAGTATAGTATAAAATTTATATGAAATTTTTAATTTATAGATTATTTTAACTAGTAGGTATATAGTCAAAAAAATTAAGTTAATACATATTAAATGATAATTTTGAATATATGGCTTTTTAATATATTTTATATTTGCCTATTATAAACAATCAATATTTTACTTTTTATAAGTTAAAATTTAATTAATTTAATTTATCGCCATAACTCATAACCCGTTACTGTTTTAATGGCAATTAAATATTTTCTAATTGTTTTTAATGTTATTAATTAATAAGTAAGATTATTATTGAAATTTAAATGGAATAATTAAAATATTTTAATGAACTCATAATATTATTAAATAATAAAAGTTTTTAGAAATTTAGAAAAAAAATGTATAATCTGTATACAAATATTATATTATAATTTATAAGTAATTGTGTTGACATTTTTTAACTTCGGTGGTCGGCGTGAGGGAAAAGGGAGCGCTCTTTGACTTTACTTTCAATATGAACTCAATTTCGTTTGTATTAATGGTAAAAACATACAGCTATTTTCATTTGAGACGATGGGTAGGGATGACAGGTACTTAGTGTAGTAGATGCTAGGTTAGCACTGTTAGCAATGATAGAATTAGAATGATTAAGAATGATATTGTGAAATTTAATTTTTAAAACAAAAGAAAATGTAAAGATTAAATAAATAATAATGGTGATATACTTTCATATCATGGAATAATTAATACATAAGTATAAAAATTCAGTAGTATACAATATATACTACACACATATATTAAAAATTAAATAATGATGTTCTTGGTGTTAAAAATGAATACCTAGGTAGGTACTATAATTTTGCGTTCTTAGTCTTATAATTTAACATAGTAACTTTTAGAACTACAAAAGTTTACACAAAGAAAACTCATTTTAAGCTTTTGTTGATGCATATTGTTTTTATATGCACTCAAAAAGTTGTCTTTATTGACATTGTATGTAATGGTTTTTATTAGTAATCTTAGCCTAGAATCTAATATTGATAAAATAGAATAAATGAAAATATTTTAAGAAATTTTATAGGTAGATAATATAGTAATATATTATATGGGACAAAAAACAATTTAAACTATAATTTTAGTTCAGAATAAACAAATATATCATATTATATTTTATATTAAATAAGGTCACCGATTTTATAGAACAGAAAAATTATGTAATATTGATCTTTAATTGATGAATATTTCCTATATATCTTTTGAAAAGAAAAACATTGGTTTACACCAAAGTATTGTACAAATTGTAATTATAGTATAATACTACTTTTTTTTTTTGCGAATAATTTAATTGTTAATAGAATATGCCATATGGCAATTAGTGCAATGTTTATGACACTGACACACTGTAACTAATTATCTTATTATAATTGCTACTTAGACATTTTAAAGTACAACGTAAGGAAGTTTGGCTGTTAAATTTTATAAAAATGGTTAGTTTTTTTTTAAATATTTTTAACATTTTGTTAGTAATTTGACTCGAGATATATGATTTATATTTTATTAATATTATTCTATCTATAACTATTAAATATTTAATATATTTCACAAGTTTTCTGTTAAATATATTGTATTTTTGTAATCAATTATTTTTATCAAATATTAATGGCAATGATTTGAAAAAGTTAAAATTAACAATAGTTTTTGACCATACACATTTTATAAATTACAGTTATCGATTTTTACTGAAATATTATACTATCTATTTAAGTGTATAACTTTTAATGTATTTATCAAAAATGAAATTATTTTTTTTTAGTTACACTTATTTTCTTAATTTAAAACAATTGTAGTTCTTGTGAATAGTAATGTGAAGTTTATAAACTAACTAATCCAATTCTATGGCTTTAATATTATACCATTATATTATTTTGATTTTTGATTTGCACGTCATGTAAAACTATACTACGTAAAGAAACTAAATCTAAAAAAAAAAAAAAAAATACAAAATAAACCAAAGCCGATATATTCAAAATTATAATGACTTTCGCACGACTTAGCATTGAAATACACATAGGAAAAATTGATTGAAAAAATTTACATATTTTTCCAGTAGAAGA